TTCTGGGGGAGAAAATGAGAGATAAATAAAAAGGATGAAGAGGAGGAGGAGCAGGACAAGGATGCCTGTGAGATTTATTTGCAGCTTTTCAGTTTGTGCAAAGAAAAGAGCCAAATGTTTATTGCCACTGAATCCATTTCTGTCACCTGTCTGCCGCAAGTTTGAGTCTTTGGGTGCCTCTTACAGGGACCCAGGAGAGAGGTACTCTATTGCAAATGGTTATAATAGTCCATCAATCCATTACTGGCCTTGTCAGACAGTAGCATCACTTCTGCTTTCTAGGGAAGAAGGGCTGCATTAACTCTGGATGCTTGGCTGCATTTTGAACCATGCACCAGCTCTCCAAGGAGTTTCCTTTCCCTCCCCCGTTCTCTCCTCTTGTAATTTTTTTTAAAAATACAACTGAGCTAAAAATACTGAAGGATTTAATGGCATCCCTTTCTCACTGGGAATTGTGAGGCTTGTGGCAATGGTCTCACAATCATCACTAAGTAGCTATCAAAAATACAGAACTGTAACTGTTTTGTATTCACGGTCATGGCTTAGTCATGGTTTTGACACCATTGCCATGATTGTAACTCCCACTCCCACCTAATGTTGTTGTTGTTGTTGTAGTTGTTGTTGTAGTTAACTGCCGTTGAGCTGATCTCAACTCATGGCAACCCAGTGGATGAGATATCTCCGAGACCCCCTCTCCCCCACTGGTCTGCTTAGGTCCTGCAAATGGATACCCATGGCCCCTTTAATTGAGTCCAGCCATCTAGCATGTGGTCTTCCTCTCTTTCTACATCCCTCCACCTTTCCTAGCATTATTGTCTTTTCTAATGAGTCTTGCTTTCTCATGATGTGACCAAAGTATGACAGCCTCAACTTGATCATCTTGACTTCTTGTTCAGGCATGATCTTTTTGGCCATCCACAGTATTCTCAGCACGCTCCTCCAGAGCCACATCTGTCAGATGAGCTGATTTTCTTTTTATCCACCTGCCTCACTGTCCACCTTACATCTGTATCTGGTGATAGGGAATACAATAGATGGGAGAGTTGTAACTTTAGTGCTCAGTTGTATATCTTTACTCCTAGTTTACTGGGCATTGTCTCCATGAGGAGAAGGAAGTCCGTTCTGCTTGTGATCAGAGATGGGTTAATTTTTCCATCATGTTTGGGGAAGTTGAGCCAGGAGAGGTTACTTAGTTAATCAGTAACTTAGCTGACAGAATATATACAAGTCATCATTGGAAGGGAACTAAAAATAATGGAATAGTGACCATTACACTGTTGATGAACTTTGTTTCCATTGTTTGCATTGCTTTGGAAATTTAATGCCTTTAAATCCTTGTTCCTGCCCTAGGCAACTTGTTACAAGTAACTACAGTACTTGATAACTAGTTTATAGGTCTCTGTGTTACTTGGAATGTGTTCATTCCATACTCTGGAAATAAGTTATGGCACATGCCAAGGTAAAGAGGGGTTTCAAATTTGTAATTCCATATCTCCATCCTTATACATGCCCAAAAGGAGAAGAGTATTTGCCTTGCAAGAGCACCAAAAGGTAACATTATGGTTAAGAGAAAATATTTTCTAAAGTCAGATGTCTCCCTTCCACGAACTCCTTAGGATGAAAGTGGGACCCATCCTTCCTAGGCTGGCCATCATTGCTTCATGTCCTTGGAAGCATAGCAGATATAAACTGCTGAGATCTCCTCTGTATGTCTTACTTCAGTGCATTGTCCTTTGTGGACCTAGTAAATATCAACAGCAGCAAAATTATACTCAGAATTTTATTTTTTCTTCTTTTTCATCTTGCAGTTTCTCTGCCTGAAGAACATTCGGACTTTCCTCAAAGTATGTCATGACAAATTTGGCCTCCGGAACAGCGAGCTGTTTGATCCTTTTGACCTTTTTGATGTGCGGGATTTTGGAAAAGTAAGTGCCCTTTTTTTTCTTGTTTTTCCTCATATGAAAGAACAAGCCAAAACAAATGGATGGAGTGCATTTGTGGGGTCTTTTCACTCTCTTCCCCATTGGTTCTGGGGAACTTTTTGTCCTGTGGCTTAGGCAGCATGGTCAAACAACGTCATACATTCCTGTGGTTGCTGGTGGATTAAACAGGTTTCTAGAGCCAGGATCATCAGTGGTTTTTGCCAGTGTAATCTCCAATTTATGTCAGTAGGAATACTTTTTTAGGCCTCATGCAAGGAGGTATCTGGTATCTCCTTGTGCAACACCTTTGAGCCTTATCGTAGGACAAAAGTAAGCAAGAGAGAAGAGGCTTTCTGCTTACCTCTCTGAATGATGTCACATAGCACTTCCATTCTCCTTCCAAAGGGAGATGGTCATGAAAGCATGCCTTTTGCCAAACAGATTTTCCCAATGCAACCAAAGACATGCTTTTATGGCCATCTCCCTCACAAAGAGAACAGATGTGCTTTGAGGGCATGCAAAGAGGTAAGTAGAAAGCCACTTCTCTCTTGCTGGATGTCAGCTTAATTTTATCATGTGGCAAGAGTCTCTGGTAGGTGAATATATTTGGATGGTCCTGAGTGCACCTCTGTCATTCTGTGCATTTATTGTCCATGGAGGTGCACCTGGCCATCATCTTTCTGTCCTGTAGATGGGAAGGACAAGCAGACTAACTGTTTCTTTGGGGTTGACAGGCTTCCTCTTCTTCTCTAGGTGTGCAAGAACAGCCTGGTAGTCCCCAGGCATACACTTGTGGCCAATCCATGACCAGAAGTAGGGAAGAATTTCCATCTGCTCTTGTATACTTAGGGATATATGCAGGCATATGCTGGTGGAGATTTAACTGTCACTGCCAGACCAATAGGACTAGCAGTACTTCTTTGTGTGAGAACTAGCTTTTGGCTTTTGAAATCCTTTGCTTCTGTTCATCAGGTATATTTGTATGCTCCATTCTAAGCAGAAGTTGGTTGTTATTGTTTTTTGTCTGGGGAAAAAAAGAATAATTGCATGAGAAGGCAGGATCAACTTGGATGGAATTGGGAGCTAATGATTAGTTTTCTTGTGCTTGGAATTCTGTGACTAGACTTCCTGCTGGCAGATGCTACAAGATCCTTGCAAGAGTCAAGATCCTTGCAAGAGTCAGACAATGCCAGGACTGCTGTGAGTGGCTGACTCTTAAGCCATAGCTGGGAGGGAGACTTTCCTACTCAGGATCCCTTATGCCTGGTCCTAGAAGTGGAGTTTAGCAAGAATCAGATGGTCCTACTCTGTTGATGAGGCAAAGGAGACAGAAGGCCAAGCTCTCAGTGTTGATATCATACTTAGTCAATCCAGATGTTTTGTACCACCTGCTAATCCCAGATGTTGCATGCTTGTAGTTCCTTGCTCTGACTCAAGAGGATTCTGAATACACTTGGTGTATTACTGTGGTGTTTCTGACTCCAAAGTCCTTCTGCACCCAACTAAGATAGGTGGACGTGAGGGAGAGTCATTTGCAAGTGAAGGAAAAGGTGGGATGAATTGCTGAAGATCCCAAGGATTGATATGACCACCTGCTGCCTGCTGGGGATGCTTCAGCCAGGGAGTTGGACTAGGTGGCCCATGAGGCCCCTTCCAACTCTATGATTCTGTGACATAAGGGGAAAGACAGTAGGAGGGAAGGAGGATGAGCAGGTCAGCTTATGGTACAGACTCATGAGATGGTCCAGCAGGTTCCAGATGTGGTGTGTGTTTTGGTATGAGACCTTTTTTTTCAGTTGAACTGAACATGGCTGTAACCCATGCTAAGGTTGATTCCCATAGTGTTTGGTGACTTTCATGTCAGTAGGGCAGTGAATCCATGCCAGATTTTGGCTAATTTTAAAGGAGGTAGCAAAGGTGTGGGATAGATCATCTCTAGGAGCAGTTTCAGCACCTTGGAAAGATCTTTTGAAGCCTGGATTAAAACCTGGAGTGGCTTTTCTGCTCCACTGATACGGAAATTCATTCACACTCTCATCTTCTTTAAAGCTCTTTGAAGGGCCATTAAAATGTAATCCATTGTACATTTATATATTTTTCATTCATTCATCCACTCTTTCATTCATTCATTCATATCAGCAAGCAGATTATCTGACATTGTAGTTTGAATTTTTCTAAAAAATGATAACCTCATCTCCCCCCCCCCCCCCAATATTATAGTATTGCAAGGTTTAGCAGTTTAATGTTTTCATTGCATTTCAGAGCCCTTGGGGCTAGAGCATAGTTCCAGGAGCTGGAATGACCCTTTTAATGCCATCTCTTGCCATCTGTGCCTACTTCTTTCCCCATAAGGTGTGTTATTTTTAGCATAGGGCTCAGTATAGGAAGATTCATGTTGGCCATGGGGATATTGGCATGGAGATTACAGCCCAGGTTGTGTGTGATTGCAGTGACTAGCCTTAGCCACAGAAGTTAAAACTGGCTGGAGGATTCACACTTCCTAATTATCTCAGTTTTTACTGTTCTCTTTTTAAAAAGCTTGCAACTTTCTAGCCCTCATGGTTGCAAAGAAAGGCTTGGGTGTATTTTGCAGTCACACTCCCTTAGCAAGAACTCAGGAGTGAGAGGATGGGCTGAGTAGGATTTCCAGAAAGTTTTGGAGCTTCTTGCTCCATCTTGGGGGGTTGCAGACTGCCAGAAATAGTGCAAATTGCGTCCACTTTTAGGGTTAGGGTTAGTGCTAGGGAATCATGGGAATTGTTTTTTTTTTTTCCTGAGACATTGAGCCTTCTCTGTCAGAGAGCTCTGGTGCCACAATAAAATACAGTTCCCATGATTCCCTAACCCTAACTCTAACCCTAAAAGTGGACTCAATTTGCACTATTTCTGACAGTCTGCAACCCCCCCCCCCCTTGATGATGAACCAGTAGGCAATTGTTGCCAGGAAAAGACTATTTTTTAAATCCCAACAGGCTTTAAAAAACAGTTTTTTTAAAAGAAAGGGCTTTTATTGGGATGGTGTGTTGCTTTTACTTGTACTGTTTTAAAACTATTTTTTATTATATTGTATGGCTGTGAGCCAGCGTGGCATAGTGGTTTACATATTGGACTGTGACTCTGGAGACCAGGGTTCGATTACCAGCTTGGCCATGAAACCCTCTGGATGACTTTGGGCAAGTCACACTCTCTCAGCCTCAGGGGATGGCAATGGCAAAGCCTCCTCAGAAGAAACTTGCCAAGAAAACCCCATAATAGGTTTGCCTTCCAGTCACCATAAATTGGAAATGGCTTGAAGGCACACAACAACAAAGGGGAAGAAAGGGCTCCTAGCCTCCTCAAATTCAGTTTATGAACTTCTCAGTGAATTATGCAAAATTGCAATGTAGGCCACAGCCTTTGGCTAATGATAGCAGCAACATAAAAGGGGTGCATCGCATACTCTTTAATTTGTCGGAGCCGAGCATAATGAGATGTGGTGTGTACATAAATATGGATTAAGCTCTCCGGGGCTAAGGGTGGCAGCGAAGCTCTGGAAAGAGAGCTGAACACAGTAACTCTCAAGTTCAGAGTCAGAGTTTCTCTTTCAGGGAACTGTAATTCAGAGTGCTCATAAACATCTCAGCAGAGAAAGACCTCCTTTATCACTCTCCCCCCTTCCGTTCCCCCTTCCTCCTTCCTCCTCTTTTTTTGAACTTGCCAGGAATAGGTTTTAAGAGAGGCATTTTAATGACTACGCAGTCCTGAATGATGGATATGCCTGGAGTTCTTGCAATGAAATCTTGGAAGGGGATGTTGAGTCATGAGAGTCAGCAAGAAAAAGAGAAATTACGAGGCTTGGTGGTGGACGGGACCTGGAGTGATCAAGCCGCATGCTTTGGTGGTTGTCTTGCTTGCCTCTGCAATAACTCTGTCCTTGGATGCATTTGCTGATTTGTGTGCTTACATATATTTGTTGATGTAAGCACATACACAGGCATTCCCCAGCACTTAAAATAGAGAGAGAACCCTGCCTCCTGATGTGTTGGAAAGTCACCAACAAGGAATGGGAACAGAGTCTTTATAAAGTCTTAATTCGTTTCCATACAAATCCAAGGGGGCAAGGATAATTTGCTGTTGTGTTCCAGATCCTTGAAAAATCTTATTATCCAAATACCATCCAGTATAATCCAAAATCCACAAAACAGTGAAACCTAACAAAAATGCACGTTACACATTACCCATGTTTCAAACATTACCCATGTTGCAAACACATTGCACACATTGCAAGGTTTCAAAACTCCACTGGCTTCTTCATCAGGCCAAGGTGCTAAAAAATCGTACAAGAGAAAGGGAAAAAATGACAATGTTAGTCATAGGCCTGCATTATGTCCAGAGGTTGAACTGTTGTCTTCAGTTCAGATTTTTAACTCCTTTGCGTGATGAAGAAGCCAGAGGAGCTTCAAAAGCTTGCAACATGTATAATGGGCATTTTGATTTGCCCAATAAAGGTATTGCTGTCTTGTAGATTTTGGATGGGAATGTACTTTGCTATTTGACCAACACAGCTACCCTTGGATATGTTTTCTGAAAAATCCTGGCTTCCTTGGCCACAATCCAACATCCCCTCAATGCACCATAAATATCTGCATGCAGAGATGCGTTACTCCAGCACTGAACAATCCCATGCAAAACAGCAACATTACACAAAGCATGCAAGTGACTGGGCATCATTGCGCAGTGTGCAACCGCAACATGGAATGTGAAACTGCAGTGCACAGTGCACAACCACAAAATACCACGTTGCTGTATGTGCAACTCTGCTTCCTTGCTGTCCACAAAATATGTCTGTTGTGCTGTGGTGAATAATTTGCTCTGCATGTATAGCATGACTTACACATGCATATGGCACTAATAGGATGTCATCCATTGTCGCCCCCACTCACCGAAGCAAGTTTCTAGCTGCTAGGCTCAAAAAGATAAGCTTCAGAGTGTAAGCAATTCCTGCTGGGCTCCAAAAAGGAATAGCAGATAAGATTTCCTGTGGGGAGGAGGGATTTGGAGGTGGAGAAAACTGTGTCCTGTGTAGTTCCTTCCTTCCTTCCTAACAGAGCGTCCAAGGTTTGCAAGAACAGACTTGACCAGGTTTGCTAATGATGGCAGAGCCTTTATTTGCATCAGCCACATGCCATTGAAGTTAAAAGTCACAGTATTACAATGTTCATAAACCATTACTGGTATACTGGAGAGGGATCTTGTAATGCTCAGTCTCAAGAGAAAGACGTTGTAGTATAAGCTTTCTCTTGGCCAGTTTATCACATCTCTTTTCTGGTTCCCAACCTGCACACACCACATTCCCTTCACCATTCATAGGGACATCCACCCACCCTGGCCTTAGGCAAACATCTTTCCTCCTGTCTTGGTCCTTCAATAACCATTGTTTTTTTAAAATATATATGTATACATGCATTTGAGGAAGTAGACCAAGTCTACAAGAACTTATGCCAGAATAGAATAGAACAGAATAGAATATTCTATGCCACAATGTCTTTGCTGGGTATACCTAGCTAAGTATACATTACCACGTAGATATGTTCCTGGGGATTACTCCTTTAATAGAAACTTGGGTAGCAGAAATAGATATAAAATGGAAAGAATAGGGATAGGTTCCCATACCAGAGAGAGAGAGAGAGAGAGAAAGAGGGCAGTTCAACATGTTTTAGCAAACATTTTGTTCAAAACTCACCATCTGCACAGGTGAGATGAAACAACCAGGCCAGGTGAGCCTTGCAAAAGTCAACTAAAATCTTTTGAATCTTCTAGAGAAGCTGTTTATTTTGCCTGCTGTACATAAGCACACATAGCTATGGTGGGATCAGCTAGAGTAGAATCACATCTTTTCCTAGCTCAATTTGTATTGCATTATTTAATACAGACATGCTGCTGCAACCTAATACTGCAAGTCTATCTTTCTCCAGTCCTCTCACCATCCTCCCAATGCCAGTGCTGCGGAGAAAATCTAGCTATCCAAAATGCAGGAAGAGGGAGGCTGGGCTGGGTTGGGTTGGGCTCCCACAAAAAGACTTTGTAAAAAGGAGGTTCTCTGTCCGAGACTTTCTTAAATGTAGAGTTAAATGAAGTCATAGAATACACGGGAAAACATTCTGGATGCTATATGAAAACACGATTATTCAGAAATCCTTGTTTTAAATCCCATTTTGAATTTGGAGACATAGTTGTCACCGTATTATTTTTGGTCTGCTAAAAGAAAGGATACATAAAAATGGAATGAACACTCAGGCATTGTCGAGAGGAGAAATCCATTCCCTCCTCAGATCTCTATGAAAAGGACAAAATAGCAGCATGTGGACTGCTGATTCATTGCTGCCTTCGCCACAATGACAAACTTGCCCTTGCAATGGGATTTCTTTTACATGGCCCCCAAGCACAGGAGATGACAGTATAGTCAATCTTGCTTGATGGAAAGGTCTTCTGAATCTGCTAATGAAGCATGTAAAACATCTCAGCTTCTGTAAATGACACTGATCATAAAATATGGTTTTGACTAGTGTGGAACTAGTGCTTCCTCTCTTTCTTTTTTTTTTTTTTACTACAGCTCTCGAAATGTCATCCTTCCCTGCCAGCATGGCTATTAATAATGCCAGCTTATGAGGTCAGTTAGACAATAGCAATGACCAGTCTGACAAATCAGATAATGCAAAATGCAAGATCTGTCTGAATAATAAACACCAGCTGTAGAAGGTTGTTAGAGAAGGGACCAGGCAGGCCATCATTGGCAGGGAGCACAAGAACTTGGGATCAGCCACCAAGAAGGCCCCATGTTCTGAAAACCTTGTAGTTCTGTTTGATGTAACTAATACAATTGTGGGCAGATCTTTCAGGGCTGAGGGTTGTCAAAATCTTAGGATCTGGCCTTTCTCTGGACTTCTGGACAAGGGATGGAATTTCAGGCCAAGATCACTTCCTTGAAAGCCAGTGATTTATTTAAAAACTAATGTGCTGCTGATCTCTGTTGTTTCAGTCTGCTTTGAAGTAGCTACTGTAGACTTTCTACAGAGATCTCCTCCTCCCTTCTGTTTATTGTCTCATTTGCTGGACTTTAGTCTTTTTAATTTGAATGACATACTCTGAGTGTGTGTACTTGATATATTTACTGTTTATATGATATTTAATAACATCATTGGATTGCATCCCCTATGAGATCACTAGACGCTGTCTTTAGGTATCATGCTTTGGCCTTGAAATCTCAATACCAGGTATGCTAGTGACCTGGCAACTTTATTCACCCTACTCCCTAAATATTCTGTTTATACCTCAGTGCCCATGTTCTGATCCAGGATCTGAACAATCCTAGCTCTTGGTTACAATAAACTTTTCTCATTGCTTCCACTCTGATCTTTCTGGTAATTGTGAAGTAACTAAACAAAATATGGACCTCCTGTTGCTGCAAAACAACAGAGAAACATCTGGACCAGCGGTTCCTAAACTTTGGTCCTTCAGATATATTGGACTTCAGCTCCCAGAATTCCTGACTGTTGGCCAAGCTGGCTGGGGTTTCTGGGAATTGAAGTCCAAAACATCAGGAAGACTGAAGTTTGGAAATCATTGTTCTGGACTGCAGTCCACTTCCTCCGGTGCATGAAGGATTATCCACATGTATGTCTGCCTATCAGTTAAGGACAGTAGTTCTTGCATCTGATGAAGTGGGCAGCCATCTGCAAGATTTAATGTTGGCCGAGGTCCTACATCACAATATATGTTTCGTAACTTTATGAACCCGTTTGCAGGAGACAGTGCCTCCATTTGAGCACCCACATTCCCCCTGTTTTTAAGTGGGGAAGGGGAGAAGGAAGGTGCAAACTAGATCCAACCAAGAAACCACTTTGGATTTTGCATTTCACTAACCTCCTTCTAGGTGTGAGTTTTAGCCTCTTCTTGTGAAGCTTGGAATCTCTCTTGTTCAGTCAATGTGCAGCTGTCTGTCTCTATGTTTGCATAAAGAGGAGGGAAAAGAGGAAATGAAACAACATAGTAATGTTGTTAAGTGGAAGTGGCAGAGGTTGGCAAGCAAAGCCAGCTCCCCACCTCCCCTTCCACCTACAGCTCCTCCATCAGCAGTGTAAAGAACTTTCTGGATTCCCTTTGAGGAGTTGCTTTGACACTCATGGGAGCCATGGAAGAATAAGAAAGCTTGGAAAGGTCTAGCTTCTGTCGTCGCTTGCTATTCATCCCTTTTCTTTCCAGGGAGGTTCTTTGGTACAGGGAAGAGTAACTGTTTTGGACAGCAGTTCCCAGTGACCATGCTGGGAGTTGTAGTCCAAGAAAGTGACATTTCCAAGTTGCGGTCAAAAAGCTGTCAGTCAGAGTTGCCAGATGGGATGTTTCCAAGCAGTCCAGGTTGAGTGCTTGTTCTGTAAAAATGAATGGGAACCCCAAATGGCCCTGGGATCTGAAGATAAAAAGGGTTTTATGAGAAACCTCAAATGCTTTTATGTTATATAGTGGGCCCTTGGTATCTGCTGGGGTTTGGTTCCAGGGCTCCCCACAGATACCAAAATCTGTGGATGCTCAAGCCCCATTAAATGCAATGGCATAATAAAATAGTGTCCGTTATATAAAATGGCAAAATCAACGTTTGCTTTTTGGAATTTACATATTTTTTTCTGAATATTTTCAAGCCGTGGATGGTTGAATCTGTGGATAAAGAATCTGTGTATTGGACTGAGCAAAGCAGCCAACATGAAGGCAGAGGCATGAATTAAATGAGTATATATATATATTTTCTTTTGCAAAGGAAGAGTCTTGCAGAATGCCTGCTGTTGCACAGTTGAGCAGACACAGGAATCTGTAATTGACTGATTATTTTTCATAAAGGGAAACTTTACGCTGTCGACTTTTGAGTGTTTTAAGCTGGAAGCATCTGTTCGGAGGCTTGCACCTGCAGAGACCAGTCAGACTGTTTTGAGTAAACTTCTCATAATGGAAGTACAGCATTAAAAGAAGAAAGAAAAAAGTCACCATACTGTAGTAGATGCTTGACTGAGCTGAGCTACTAAGAAGTACTTTACCGCTACCCTTCAGAGGTGCCTTTCTGGCCTTGTTTTTAAAGCAGCCTCCCAACCCACCTCTAAGTAGATTAAGTCCCATGATCACTGGATTACTCAGAAAGTCCCTTGACTTAATTCATCCTCTTGCCAGACGGACCATGAACTCAACAGTGGCTCTTGAGTTTTGTGTGTGTACTGTATTTTTAACAAATCCACTCCTTGGTCTCCAGTTGTTGCTTCCCCACCCCATCCCCTATCTGTTTCCCTTGAGCAGCAATCTTTAACATTAAATTGAACTAAAGGAAAATGACATTGGACATTGTTCTGAATGTTGGGTGCGTTCCTGTGTGTCTGTTCCTGTGTGACGGCTTGTTGAATCAATTGTGCGTAAAGTGTGATCTGACAATGCACTTTTACGTTTCCCCTGGACATTCTATGATAGCGGGAAGCTTGCAAACTGACATCCCCTTAAGGACTCAAATCCCTTCTGCTTTGTGATTCGAACCCCTAGTCTTATGCCATGGGACCTGCAGGAATCTGCCTCTGTGCCCCTTGGTAGCCTGGTTCATCCTTGGCTCCAAGACATCCCTTTAGGAATACTCACAGCAAGAAGGGAAGATGGAAGTCTTAAAGAGGGAGATTCTCCTTGCCTTTGATGCCTAGAGCTCAGTCTGGTCTCTCATGATTTCGGTCTATGAGCAATTGCTTTTGTGACAGATTTGTGCTATATTGCAACAGAAACAAGGCAAGAGTCATCCGTTCTCTTACTTTGTACAACTTATGAAAATAACCACCACCACAGGTTGAGTCTCCCTTATCCCGAATACGAAATATTCCAAAATCCAAAATGGTCCACACGGGTGGTCCCTTTGCTTTCTGATGGTTCATGTACACAATCTTTGGGAGATCTGTGCTGGTCCATATAAGCATGCTACATTATTTGATGATCGGTCACTGAATGGATGAGCAGATTTGGTTGAAAAGATGAGTTGAGGTAGGACCATTCTCTCTCTGGCTTTGTATTGAGGGTGCAATTTATTGTTGTGCACTCATTGTTGTAGTTATTGGTCATCTTCATGTAATCTTGAACCAGCTGTGACTATTGGGAGTGCTACAAATTGGTGCCACTGTTGTGAAAGTAGGAGAAGGTTGGTTTTTGGGAGGAAGACTATGGTGTGGTGGTTTAAGCTTAGAACTACAAACCTGGAGAATGGGGTTTTATTCCAAGCTTGGCCATGGAAAGCTACTAGGTGACCATGGGTGAGTCACACAATCTCAGCCCCAGCAAAACCCCTTAGGGTTGCCATAAGTCAGAAATGACTTGAAGGCACACACCACCAACAACAAGATCCTCATATTGTGCCTAAAGATAAGACTGTTGGTTGTTGGTTGCAAGTTGGTATGAGAATAAACAAGGTTAGCTTTCACGTGACAGTTTTAAAATAGTTTTCCTCATTTGTGGGAGGCAGATTGAGTTCTGTGTAATGTTATTACACATGTCAGAAATTATCTTGATCAAGACCAAATAGGCTCCACTGTTGCTTAAAGCGAGGTGGGTCAATCCTTTCTGAATAGTATGTTGCTTTCTGGAGCAGTTTTTGATGGGGAACCCTGCCTCTTCTGCTTGTTTGCATCTACATGGTTTTCTTATTTTCCCCTGCTCTTTCTTGTTGTGATTTTGCAAAACGAAAACAAAATATTAACTAACAAAAACCATCTTCAAACCAAAACCAGTCTAGTGTTTTCCTATAGACCTTTTGACTATGAACCTTGCAAGATGTCCACCTCTATTTGGTCTGTTTCTAATGGACCGGGAAGGATGAGGCCCTGCCAGATTTTAGCTACAAAGACTGCGTTTACTGAGAGTACCTAAAGAATACAAGGTTAGAGGTCAGTAACTTGCTTTGAGTTAGATTTGGATGGGTGGTGATGGTGGAATTTATTCCTTCTTAAACTTCAGCCTGAGCACGAATTATTACCGGATTATTCAATTGTACAGTCAAATCCAGTTGCTAGTCCCAAGTAGAATAGACCCATTGAATCACTGCTGCTGTTGTTGTGTGACTTCAAGTCATTTCTGACTTATGACAACCCTAAGGTGGTTTTCTTAGCAAGTTTGTTCAGAAGTGGTTTGCCATTGCCATCCTTTGAGGCTGAGATAGTGTGACTTGCCCAAGGTAACCCAGTGGGTTTCCATGGCTGAGCCAGGATTTGAACCATGATCTCCAGAGTCATAGTCCAAAGCTCAAACCACTACATGAGACTTACCTAAATGTTGGTTTACCATTCAGCAGTGAGCCAGCATGGTGTAGTGGTTTGAACGTTAGGTTATGATTCTGAAGAACAGGGTTCAAATCCCCTCTCAGCCACAAAAACCTACTAGATGACCTTGGGCAAGCCACACTCTCTCAGCCTCAGAACATGGCAATGGCAGACCCCTTGCTTGCCAAGAAAACCCCATGATAGACACCTTAGGATCCTGTAAGTCAGAAATGACTTGAAGGCACACAACAAGTGAGCCTACTCTTGTTGGGATCTGGGGATTTAGAGTATATTTAGGACTGTGAAACATTTAGCCTATTGTATGTTGATTTAAATCTCAAGTTGTGTCATTGAACGACTGGAAAGCATCTGCTGTTTGGTGTTCTGTACCTTTCGGTAGACAAAATGTAACTTTTTTCCCTCTGATGTTACCATAAGCTGCTTGGAGCGTGAGTTTACCATGGGAAAGCAGCGTGCAAATAAACACGATACTGTTTGATGTAGGTGCGACATCTCGAAATTACAAAGCGCCTTGCTATTTTAAATGCTGCCTTGCTACCCTCTTGTTCCCAGGTGGGTTTAGCTATGCTTCTGTGATCCTGGGGAAAGAAGCATTGCAATTAACCCGCAACACACCAGAGATGAGAGGGAAAACACTTCTTAACACTTATTTCTTTCTTTTGTTTTTTATGGCTGTACATTGAAAATATGTCTTCAGATTCCTTGAGAACATCTGTTCATTATCTTTGTCCTTAGGCTGAGCAGAGACCAATGCAGAATAGAAGTAATTAACTTATCAAGAGACTAATTAGAACATAGATTCAGATCTCTGCCCATGCAACATTGGGGACCCCTCCTCCAGCTGTTGGAAAGGCTGGTGGCTGTGCAATCCTCAAGATGGCCAGAGAAAAGCACCAAAAAGCCATTGCTCCTGATGAGTTGTGATGGAGATTCAAGCTGTTCCCATGATCTCTCTGTAATTGGCATTTTGACTTTCAGATAGAAAAAGGAAAGGTCATTGTTGTTGTTGTCGTTGTTGTGTGCCTTCAAGTCGTTTCTGGCTTAGGACACTCCGCTCCTAGGGTTTTCTTGGCAAGATTTGTGCAGAGGGGGTTTGCTATGGCCTTCCCCTGAGGCTGAGAGCATGTGACTTAGCCAAGGTCATCCAATGGGTTTCATGGCCAAGCTGGGAATTGAACCTTGGTCTCCATAGTTGTAATCCAATACTCAAATTGCTATGCTATTTGATTGTTTTTCCAAACCTCTACAAAAAGGGGGCTTTCCCAGTTGTTGGGATGCCCTACCAAGGAAATCTAGATGCTGTGGACGTCATGATTGTTCAGGAGCTTTTCTGTGCAAAATTCGACAGTGGGGAGGGGGGGTTGTTTTGGAGAGAAAATTGGGTTTTCTGCAAAAGAAAGTTCTCTTCTGCACAGGGATAACAGAATCGTAGAATTGGAAGGGATTCCATGTAGTCTAAAACCCAGCCAGTGCAGGAATCCAAAGCTAAACCAATGCAGAGGAGTGTGCATCCTTCCCCCTCCATGCAGAATATAAATTTATGGCACAGAAAACCATGTTTTCTACACAGAACAACAACAACAACAACAACAACAACAACAACAACCCTGGGGTATTTTTGTTTGTCCTGATCTGTGCAGTTTTGTAGAATCTTCTTGTAAGAGGAAGAAAATGTATTAAATTCTTCTTCTTCTTTTTGTATATGAGAAACAACCAAATGAAGATTTACATCCCTACCTCCACATGGTAGTTTTGCTTCTAGATACTGGGGTAACATGACATCTGTATGAATGAACTGTGAAGTGGGGATCCTGTCTTCATATTTTAGCTGTAAACTTTCAGGGTACCTTGAGTCAGGCTAATATCTCTTGACACCTAGGTTTATAATGAGAGTCACTTGTATGGCTGGGACACAATTGTGTCTTAAAAGCTTTGAGCACTTAAGAAAAGTGTGATGGTAGCTTGGGAATGCACATAATGCATTCACATGTGTCCCTGGAGCTGTGTGCAGCATGTCTTTACGACTGTTAACCACTCCAGATTTCTTGGACAGCTCTTTTTCTGGGCAAAAATAGAGAGGGGCAAATCACCTCTGATGGAATTCTCCACGAACTCTAATTCACCTGGCTTTTGAAAAGCAAAATGCTGTGTGCATCTAGATGTCAAAGGGAAACAAAATGGAAAAGAAAATCCACCACCACCACCACCATCATTTATTTTTATCCTACCTCTTCCCTAGAACTGGAATTCAATTTGCCTTATGGACTGAAAGGATTACAGTACCATTAAAAACATACAAAAAGTTAACATTAAAATACAATCTGACCTCCATATCTACAGGATCAGTACCTCTGGTTTCACTCACCCGTGTGTGAAAAAATATGTTCCCTTTAAGCATTTTCTAGGTCCTCCAGCATGAATCTATGGTATGATTCTGGCAGAAGTTGACCACAAAGTTGCACTGGAGGACCTAGAAATGCCTAGAGAGGTGTTCATGACCCGATGGTCATCTTCCACAGGAAGTCATTTGTTTCAGTAGGGTTTGCTTTTATGGACAGTTTTGAATTTCCATGCTAAGTATGGGAACAAAAGCCCCACAGATACAAGGCTTGGACTGTAGAGTTAAACTATTAGCTGTTTTACCATATTTTAAAACATATGTTAAAAAGATAAAAAGTTAAAAACAGTACAGTTGATACTCTCTTGCAGCCTTTTCCTTAGCAGCCTTGAGTTTCAGAAGCCACTCTGATTAAGGAAAAGTCTTTGTCTGCTAAAGAAAGGACAGCAAGCCACCCTAGGAAAGGAGATTCATAGTCTAGGGGCAGCCACTGGGAAGACCCTGCTTCGTGTTCCCAACAAGCATACTTATATATTTTTTTTATTTTAATTTAATATAATGAAAGGTGGGAAGAAGACTGGGAAAAATTGATACAGTTCTGCAAAGATAGGTTGCCGGAGTAGGATATTTACAGATTTGGTCTTGGAAAGATAAATACAGAATTAATGTTAGGGAAATGGAAGATAAGTATGATGAAATTACACTTTGGTAAAGTGATTTGTTATGAAACGCTTGGTTTTAACGGAATAATTTTTGATGGAGTTTAAAAAAATGTATGAACAAGAAAAGAGTTACGTTAAGGAAGAATATATTGAAACTATGCTCAATTTAGTTATATATAACTTACAAATGTAAAATGTAGAAAGTAACTGTATATGAATTTGATTTATTTGTTTGGATGTATATGTGTTTTAATTAAAACCAACAACCATACATATAGAAGTAGTTGGAATGAAAGAAAGGTCTCTCCTAAGGATTTCAGGGTCTGGGCAGCTTCATGGGGAAGCAAGGAATTAGCTCTGATGGGAATTTGCCATGTCAAGTTGCAACCAATATATTCTGTATTCAGTGAGCTATCCAAGGTGCTGAATCTTTTGGGAGAGATTGATTTCAGCACCTCGGATAACACCCTTGAAGTGTCTGGGATAAAACCTGGAAATAATTCACTGCACCCTGACATGAAAGCTCCTGTCTGCCCTGGGCATGTTAGACCCATCTTTATTAATAGGAATCATGAAAATATTATTAGAGGACTGGTTAAAAAAGGTGTAAGCAGGAAGCAACAAGACTGAATCCATGTGAAAATTATTAAAAGAAGTGCATCTGGAGAATCTATCTGAGAGCAAGAATAGAAGCAATCTCCCAATGCGGAGGTCATGAAAGCCTCTTTGTATTGGTTGAGGATATTCAACCAATGTTCAAATTAGCCCAGACAAAGTGCTCAGATCTTTCTGCATTAAAAGGAACATGCATGCACATTTCCCTGGAGGGTAGGGAAAATGGTGACCTAACAGCGCTCCTCCTCCTCCTTCCAGTTCTTAAATTCCTGAAAAGCAGTGAAGGAGTCTAATATAAGGGACAGTCTTCCTGCAGACACACACATACATAGAGAGAGAGCAAAAATGGCAAATGGGTTTTTTTCTGGAGGTCGAGAGATAAGGAGGATATTGAGCCTTGATCCATAAATAAGAGTTTCTGTCTGCTGATGATGCTCGGCTTGGAATTTTAAAAAGACATAATCCTGCTAACTATTTGCATCATTTGCATTGAGCCAAATTTCAGGGTAGCTTAGTTTGAATATTTAGTTCTGCACTTTCAGCTATTTCGCCCAGCTATTTCTGCTAGATCTGGAGACAAGTGTCCACTGGCTATACAAGACATATTGGAATGACAGTCCCCAGAATTTGGAGAACGCTCCATAGGCATCTCTCTTGTCAGATGGTGCTGCATCCCGATGCTTTCAGGCAGTCATGGGGAATTGAAAGTTGCTTTTCCTTATTTGTTTTTCTTTATTTTGTTTGGCTGGCAAACACTAGGGTTACTGGCGGTCCTTTATTAGAAGCGATGATCCTTATTTGAGGGTTGTTTCCCAATTATGGCGACCCTAAGGCAAACTTTTCATGGGGTTTTCTTGGCAAGTTTCTTCAGAGGGGATTTGCCATTGCCATCCTCTGAGGCTGAGAGAGTGTGACTTGGCCAAAGTCATCTAGTGGGTTTTATGGCTAAGTGGGAATTTGAACTCTGTTCTCCAGAATCTACTGCATTATTCAACTCCTTTACAGTAAAGAGATCAGTTCACAAGAGGCACCAAGATCAGTTAATACTCCCATTAAAAGTGAATGGGAGAACATGAAGCACCCACATCTACAGTACTGGGGTCTTAAGCGACCCCAAAATAGTGGGGAAAAACTGTATTTATTTATCAGCACACTCATTCCTGCTGATACAGCCATTATGATACCAAAACAATTATCACTCAGTGCTTTTTATTTTTAAAAAATCATAACTGCTGGGGACTTTGAGCTGAATGAAAACATGCATAGAACGACATTGGAAACCTGAGAGACTCCACAGAGATGAGCACAACAGATATACCATTTCAGTATATTTGTAACATCCGTGAATAATCCTCAACTGAACCGCACGTTTCCCAAGTGACAGAAGGCTGGGATATATATATATATGTGTAAAAAAATGCATTTGACAATGACTTAATTGTGATCTATTTGCCCTCGAAAACAGTTTAGC